AACACTGGTGTTATATGGCATTTAATGGGCATTCTTGTGAGTGACCTGGCTGCTGCATTCTGAACAATACGAAGCTTTCAGATCGTAGACATCGGAAGGCCCACATACAGGGTGTTGCAATAGTCCAGCCTAGACGTGACCGTGGTATGGATGACAGTTGCCAGAGCCTCGTCAGATAGGTAGGGTGCCAGTTGCCTCGCTTGTCGTAGATGGAAAAAGGCCTGTTTGCTGGCAGCAGCGACCTGAGCTTCCATTGTCAGCTGTGAATCCAGGATGACACCTAAGCTCTTAACAGTGGTCGATGGAGATAGGGCGGCACCATCGAAGGTGGGTAATGGAGGAGTCAGACCTGCCGGGCGGTCATGACAGAGAATCTCTGTCTTCGCCGGGTTCACCTTCAGTCTGCTAGCACGTAGCCAGTTTGACAGAGCTTCCAGACATAGGGTGAAATTGTCTGGAATTGACGTTGTTCCAGGCTCCAGGCGCAGAAGGAGTTGGGTATCGTCTGCATATTGGTAGCAGACGATAATGGTTGATGGAGGGCTTCATCTATGTTCTGGAGATCATTTCAATGATATTTAGCATGCATATCTATGGTCCCATCTACATATGAAGTCTGAAACTGTAATATATGTTCAGTGTTGATTCCTGTAATGGAGCTTCAATATACATGGAGGCTTAGAGAACATAAATGAAAATCCACAATCTTTCCTCTATAGATAGATGATAGTCAGAACCTTCTTCTTCTCTCTACAACTCCGTTTTCTCTACAGAACCTTCTTCTCTCTATCCTCTCTCTTTCTCAATCCCCTCTTTCAATTCTACGATTTGAAAAGGATTGTACAATGTTTATGCCAATGAAATAGCAAGATACATCCAATATTAAAGCAGTAGCAAAAATATTTTCTTCAGCTGGGTTAGAAACACTTTTCTCTTCCTCTCCAGTGCTTTTCTTCCAACGCTTTTCTCCCTGATTTCTCCCACTCATTGATTCTTTTCCCTTCTCCTTCCTCTCCCTGATGTTCATCTAGCTTTGCCTTCTCCTAACTTTCTTTTCCTTGACCACACCTGGAATATTGTGTCCAATTCTGGGCACCACAATTCAAGAGAGATATTGACAAGCTGGAATG